GCCAAACTCAATACATGCATAAATGCTTTCAGGGTCATTAGCGCTGCAGCCTTCTTATGCTTTAAATCTATTGAAAATCGGATAAAACGTCTTCGAAAACAACAAACGTACAGTTGAAGACCATTTAAGTTCTACTTGAAATCTGTTTAAAGCCCAGTAGAGCTGGCAAAAAATGCATAGGATCATCGAAACCCTTACAGCACATCACTCTCCAAATGAAACCTATAAGAACCTAATTAAAGCCAAGTGATTTAAAATTACGACCAAGAATCAACTCAAGCTCAGCTAAATCTAATGCAAGACAATTACATTCCAATCAAAATCAATCTGCTTCTTCCTCCTAATCCTCGAACTCAGACTCTCGCTCTTACTCCAGCTAGTACTAGCTCTGCTTAACTGCCTCCATATCATAGCACGACTAGTTCTAGTACTACTTGAACTGATGTTACTACCCCCATCCCCTGGCTCATTGCGAAAATCGGAAAATGAATTTTCAGTGCATTGACTTCCTGTCCCCTGCCTCCTTGAGCGTGCGACGGGCAAGGTTGCTGCGGAACGGCACCATGTTTACCATCTCCTCGAGCCTTGCAGATGCAGCGGCAGAACCACTCCCGCCCGTCAGGAAGCCTTGACCTAGGCCCAAACGAACAGAAGTTGAAGTATTTTTTCGGAGTAGGCTCCTTCTTGTGCTCATCACGCTCGTACTCCTCCTCAAGACAGCGAGAATTGTAGTTAGCCCACAGCTAGCCCACATGTTTCAAGTCGCCTTATGGTAGAAATACATCCCCAGATACATGCATCCTTAACAAAGCCCGTGCAACTCCAAGCTCCTTTGTTTTCAATCGCCAGGCATGCTGCCGCTTCGACTTCTGCCTTGACCAGATTAGGCGCACGGGCTGCAAGTCAGAGGCTCCCAGTCCCAGACTGTGCTGCCAGGTATCCGATTCGGAAGCTTCCGTTTGAGCTCCGCGTGGGCCCTGGCTGCATCACTGAAACCTTCCATGCCAAAGAGTGCTGGAATGCAGGTTGGCAAACTGCAGTCATTGCTGGGGTTGTGACTGGATGCTTCCTTTTCGCTTGTAGCCTGCCATGATCTGCTTGCTCGCTTTGTAACAAGGGGGGCCAACTGAGCAACATCGCGCAACACTACCCAAATGTATGGGACCCGTGCTCGACTAGTTACATGATTTTTTAGCTTGCGTTCTCGAACTTCAACCATGCAAATGAAAAAAATCCACTGCATAAAAGATGCCGGAATTGTGTGAAAAAGAATGCACCCCAGTTTCTAAAAGTTGGGGGCCCCTTGTTGGGAGTCCCCATCAGTCATAAGGACTATGATGTTTTGGGGACTGTGTCGGAGACCCCCTAATTTCGGAGACCGCATTTGATGTCTTGTCCTTCCCTCCTCCCCGGTCTGATATCATCATCAGAGGCTTCGTCTTCGATTCTTCACAGCTAAGGTACGGATGCAAACTTGGCGCATGTGATGTCATTTTGCTTTGGGGGACCCTGTACAAGCATCTGCACCTCCGTATCTCGCTCATCTGGAAGACGCCGAGGCCCTGAATTGGCAAACTGCTGCAAGCACCAACAAATTGAGTGCTTGGATGTCATTGCTAGGCAGTGCCATCAAGTGATTTGGGGACCCTTCAAGTTTGACAAATGCACCTCCATGAGCGCTGCCATCCTCGAAGCAGGCCAGGAACAAAGACAGAACGGAACTCACGGCTTCCCCTGTGTGATAGCGAGAAGTGTATCTAAAGATAACACGCTGCTCAGAGGCTCCTGGCCATCCAAAGCTGCGGATGTGGCTGTGGAGGCATCAGCCGTAGCAGACGGCTCAGGGACGTCCTTTGCCATCAAAGTGCCACCGGGCTTAAGCCGGTGGCATCAAGTTGACTTGAAAATGCCAAGGGCCAAGAGGCAGATGGGGCAGTTGCAGAAGGCTTCTCTGTTTCCACGTAGCCCATCCCTCGGCATGTTGGCTTAATCTTATCGGCTACTGGTGCTGCACATCCCTGGCCTAGGCGATGTTTCAGGAGGTCAAGAAAGCTGGCACTCTTTGTGGCCGCCTCATGTCCAGCTCTTGCAGAATGTCAGGCTCATGACTGAGTGAATTGTGCAGCAACATCTATCTGGCCCAGTAGTAGCCGCACCTTGCGAGTTGAAATCATGGGCGGCGGATCTGCATCCTTCATGGATGGATCAGTTGTCCATTGGCCTGCCGTGTCAGCACAAACGATCTCTCGAGAAACCCAGGCTGGATGGCAGGCCTTCAGGGGGCGTGGCAGATGTAGAGTCTGCCGCCATGTAATAGCAGCCACCAGTGTCCAGGCAAGCATTTATCTTCCACCTTGATTCCACTCGAGCTCTAAAACCAAAACCAGACATGCGAGTCCTACACTCTGTGGTGCTTGAAGATTCTCCCGTGAGCCTTGGTGCTGTGCTATAGGTCTAGTAGTATTTTGTCGCGGCACCAGAGCTGCTACGGCTATTGCAT